GGGGGGGGGGTGGAGCAAAGCTGCCCGTGCTCTTCCTGATCTTATGACATCTTTTCTCTCTCTCTCTTTCTTCTCTCTCCCTTATTCGCGCGCATTTTCAATATCGGTGTGAAGGAGCGCCCTCTGGAGGCTCGGCGGCGCGAGCACTCATCATTTCCTTATTTCCCCACCCCCCTTCTTTCTCTATCTCTCTCTTTCTTTCTCGCTCTTTCTCTTTCCGGCTCTCCGATCCCTCCAAGTCGGTCTGAAGCGGATGCTCCGCACATATTGGCCCTAGCGGGGGGAATATGGGGCAAGTAACGAACCAACTTCTCCGCGCGGCGCGATGCGCAAGCGGCCGGCGAGGAGGACAAGGGGTGAAGCGGGACGGGCGGAAAAGTTGACAAAACCGAAACTAAACAGCCGGGCGATCCGGCGATGGCGGGCTCCTCCCGGCCGCCCCCAAGTACCTCGTCGAGTTCTGCGGGAACGCCGCACCGCGCCTCTGAGTATCCTAATGGGATCCTGGCAACTCTGGGAAAACGAAGATGAAAATTCGTGCCTTTCTAGAGGGTGCTGAAAAATGATGAAAGTTTAGTGCCTTATAAAGGAACTAAAGAGTCCTAAGGCTACTAAAAATTATTTCATCTGGCAGTTGTAGGTGTACCTTTTGTTTACTCCGCCCGAGTTTGCGCGTAATCGGTGGCTTTCTGTAAAAAGTTTTCGTGATTTTACGAAAATATTTCGTAAGTGGCAAATTTACGAAACTTTTTGTAGAGTTACAAATAAATATATTTCGTCACGAACTTGATTCTTCGGCTCATAAAAATTGACAAAATATTGAACAAATTTCGTACTCTTTAGTTAGTAGGGTTTTGGATTTTACAAAACAATTTGTAAAATAACGATGCATCGTAGTTTGTTAAAAACTGACGTTTTCTCAAAATAGAAAATTAACCTAGAAAATTGCGTAAAATCACATGATAATGTTTTGAACAGCGTGAGCTCGTCGTCAATGCCAATCCCCGCCGGCGTGCCCGCCTAATGACTCGCCCGTTACGGGGGCCGGATGACGGAGGGGAGCAGGGGGCGGCAGCCAATCGCGCTTGGCGGAGCGGCGCGGGGGGCACACGTAACGGCACGAGGAGGAGGATCGCACACGCTCGTTACCAGAGGTACAAACTTTTTCCTTCAAAATTACTCAATTTTGTTTGTTAAAAAAAGAGAAACAAGGGTGACGTAGAACACAGAATTGATTTTGAGGTACGGAAAAAAAATTCTCGTTTTGTAACCTTAGGTGATCGCCCTCTCTGATTGCGTATGTTGGTATAGCATCATTCAGAAAGCGCACGGAATTCATCTGCCGTTCCGGAAATTGCCGAGAGGGCTCGTCGTAGCGCCTGATGGGTAGGCAGACATCTGGGCCGTAGTGCACGCGTGTACTGCGGGCTGGCCTACCTCGACCCTCGCAGGCGCCGAGATCTCGTCGTATAGGTCGCCGAATGATCCTCGGAATGTTCGAACGAATCCGAGGAGAGACCATGCGACGGGATCGTGAGCTCGTCGTCGTCGTCAAAGTCAAGCTTCGCGCGAATGGTACTCAGAGCCTTTGGGGGAAGCCTCGCCACACCTCGGGGACCTCAACCAGGGCGTGATCTAAATAGACTGCTCCCATGCAGTCCGCCCCAGCCACCTCACCCCACACCGCCCCGCCCCACCCCGCGGTGCGCGGTGTGGTGTTCCCACCTGCGGCGTTCCCACCTCCGGCTCGTTAGGGGGGAGGACGGCAGCTGCCAGCTCATCACGCGAAATGTGTCCCGCGTGTTCAAACATCCCGTCGCTGACGTTCGCGTCGACGTCGTCGTCGTCATCCTTTTGTCTCGACACGATGAAGTCGTGTTGCCGGTGCACTCGGCCGTAACATTTCCCTGTTGTTTCGCATGCAGTCGTGAGCAGCACACATTGCCGCGACTTCCTCGTTGCATCCCGCACGCAGATTTCAGCCTCCTTGTTATGCATTCTCATTATTCTCAAGGTAAAAACGTTGCTTTAACGTTTCACCTCCTTATATTTAATGAAGAAGTCTTCTTATTTCTTCCGGAAAAAAAAATCCTTGATTTAATGCATTTAGCCTTGTATCATGAGAAACTTTTTCTGGGTGCATCATCCGCCAGCAGCAGCAGAGAGCAGAGAAGTCGGGTCGGTTAGCCAATTTCAGAGTCCGGTGTCAAGAGTGTGGAGGGGGTGAGGGAGAGAGAGG